CAATTATATCAAAAAGCACATAATTTCACAATTTATCATAATGCTAACATGTCATAACACATATATTAACATTATATCCAACAACAATTTTCATGCATATTATCACATAAATATATATGATCATGTCATGTCATGATATGAGATGATACTCACTCATGCATTTTATCGCGAGTGTTCACCGACCCCCATAACACAATGCAATGCATGTGTGTAATACATTTGTCATTGATGAAACACATCGAATTACTATTTTACAAAACAAAATCATGTGTCTTTGTTGGGTATCGAATTTTGGAATTATACCGCTAGCTCCATACGCCATTACACTTTTTTGGAATTGCCCCACAGGGGAGTATATGAACCAAGTAGCTGGGTCTTGCACCGGAGGGAGAATCTATCCCTTCTTACTATACCCGATACAAGTTTTTCTTTCATGCGACTCAGTCGAATCTTCAATCCAACTTTCCAAGCCCACCCATCAATCACCAAATATGGTGTTTGATGAACTCATGCACACACACACACACACTCCCATGTCTCATACCCATGGACGCAATGCCTCCGTTCAATTGCAATGTAAGATACCATTGCAATATCAATGTCATGTGCTACATGTAATGAATGCCATGTAAGTCAATTTAACCACATATGTTAACATATGTCATTGCAATTTATATAAATTTCATATAATTACCATAATTCATCACAATGTCAATACACCAACTAGCACATATTAACATTTATATCTAACACAAACCACATACATGTTATTACATCATCTATGTCAATAATCCACTTCATTCACAAGGCACAATATAAACACATAGCATGCCCATTTAATACCAAATTCCAAGAAATTACACAAGTAACTTCCACATATCAAATTCAAGTTAGAAATTGATCTAAGTCATTTCTATACCCAATTCTTCTTTTCCGTTACCATAGACAAGTCATAGGTCATTTTATGCATCAAACCCTTTCCTATGGATACCATAGGTTAGAAATAAACCAAAGTAGGAGGGAACCATACCTCTTAAAGAGTAAAGTGAATGGTAGAATCTTCAAGAGTACCTCCCAAGCCCAAGAATACCTCTTAAGCCCCAAAAACCTTGATTTTCCCAAAATCTCCCCTTTGGATATTCGGTGAAATCCTTCATTCTTAGTATGGCTGCGTAGCCCTCATCGTGATAATCGACTTTAACTTTTGGTTCGAGGGATTCCGACCGTCGGAACTCCGTAGATCGAAGAAAAAAGGTAGAAATCTTATTTTTTTTTCTTTTCTCTCTTCTCTCTCTTGCTCTTCTAACGTGTGAAATCTGATGAAAATAGGGAGAAAATCAGATATTTCTCCCTATTTATACCCTTTAATTGTGCGGTCCACGTTTCACCGCACGTTTCTTATTTCTAGGTTCGTTTTTGTCCCGAAATGACTTAATTTCGTTCCAGTTTAAGTTCAAATAATTTTTATTTGAACATTCCTTCAATTATAAAAAAAATTTATAAAATATTTTTTTGGGGACATTTGTAAGGTCACCCGACACCCAATTGTCTCGTAAAACGTAAAAAATCTGACTATCTCAGAATTCGACAAAAATTGACAGGGTAACTAGATTTTGGAAGACGAATTCAACGATGAGATCCGTTGCGTCATCCGAGTTCTAAAAAAATACAAATTTTAAATTCGCATTATAGTGACAAATTACCATTTTACCCTTTTTCGAAAAAAGTTCAAATTTACCTAAATTTTACAGAGTACTTGCAAAGGACCAATGAGTCTTCCTATGCCAAGAGTCATTTATGTCATATAAAATTCTCATGGTTGTGCAAAGTACCTTAGCTTTGCTATATACATTCAATCATTCAATAAACAAGTAAAAGATAAAGAATTAAACATAAATGAAATACACAATATAACTTTCGAACGATTTGCACATGTCCATCACCTCTTACTAAAGAGTGCATTAGAAACTACTCATTCTTTATGGCTTTGGTAAAGCTAGAAAAGTAAGTGATTCTCATCCCTCCAAGTAGAGGAGTTACAAGGTAAAACACACTACACAAGGAGCCGATCTTCGACAAAAAATGAGTGAATCACGCTCCACCCTTCATGGCTTTGGTAAAACTCTAGAAAAGTGAAAGAGTTCTTTCTACAAGGCATTGGCGGTTGAACGTTGTACTCAAGTAGCTCTTGGTCTTCTGTGAATATAACTTCAACACGTCATATGCCATCACCCTAGCAGTCTGGTCTTCAAATAATTCAAAAGGACATTCGAACGTTGATGCCTTGTTTCAAACTTCTCCAATTTTCTTCTAGAACATGTGGGTGGTGCATGAAGTTTGATGTTTATTGACTTTAAGTCCTTGTACAATATTTTTTTCTAAAATATCATCATTGAAACTCTATCAAAAGCATAATTAGTTTCAAAAAGGCATAGTTATATGTTGATTTTAACTACTAATCAATTATGATAAGGGCAAAGATAATGATCAATGAAATAACCATGATCTTCATCACAGTATGTTTGCCATCCATCACGACAACCCTTGCATTGGGGAAAAAATAGTCTAAGTCAGAACTACAAATATTAGCCTTATTCCATGATGTTCATTTGGTCGTCTAACATTGTCATGGGGATTGTTGAAGATTCCCTCGAGATGGCACCAAGCAAAAAATTTGCATGAGCCTTTGCACATGTGAAGTATAATTTTCCTTTGGTTGGTTTTTCTAACTCGACAATCCTAATAACGGCTTTCTTTCGATTGTTGCATTACCTTCCAATGAATCTTAAATCGAACTTCTCATGTCTAGCCCTTGTACCTCCAACTCTACTTGTGCTTGAGAATGACATATTTCTTCCTAAATTGACACAAAGTAAAATAATATCAGCAAAAATAACATGTACATTTGTGGATTTCACTAGCCCCCCCCCCATTCAGTTATGTCAATATAACACATAAAACCCCATTTATTTTATATGTTGTCACAAGCAAGTCCACAAATAGGTAGAGCTTTGGACAGTTTAAGACAATGATGTTGAGTGTTTGAATGTAAGGGGGAGAGAGAGAGAGATAGAGAGAGAGCGTAGGTGATGGAATAAAAACATCCTAGAGGTTCATATCAAAGCATTGTAGATGAACTATATACTGTAGAGCATTGAAACCATCGAAAAATAATAAAGAGAGAGAGAGGGTACTTACATAGGTAGTGGGTTCCAAAATTCTTCACGCGAGTGAAATGGTAGTGAGATTTGTGTGTTTTTTTTTAAAGTGTGTTAATGGATGGACACGATCCCTTACCCAACAGACTTCAAAGTGTTATAAGTCGCGCATTAGCCTAGGAATATAATTGTCTTTCTATTATATGTTTTGGGGAAACTTTAATATATAATACTTAATCTTACCATTGAAGTCTAATTTTGGAATTGTAAGAATTTTTTAAGGTGATTAATGATGCACAAAATAGTCTTATGTAAGTCAACAATTGAGCATATGATGCAAGGAAATTAATGAGACAGTTAATAAAACCATCAATGGAAAAAAGATAAATATTGGGTTAACACACATATATATAGTGATTTGATTCGGGTGACCTACTCCACTCCGCGAAATGGCGACGGTGACCGATAGACTTTATTGATCAAATAGTAGATGAGAGAGAAAACAATAACTAGCTCCGGGAGAGGAAATATAACTAGAAGAGAGAAAAGCTATGAGTAGGGTGTGTTGAGAGGTGTAGAAATGCCCTTTCTTATTGAGAGAACTTGTAATTTATAGACACATATCCTTTATTAAGGCGGTGACGTGAAAGTAAAGGTACTAGCTCTTCGGAGAGGATAATTACAAAAGGTAAGTATAATTAAAGATTGTCTTGATCTTCGAGAGCAGCTATCTCAGTAATTACTCTCCACGTGCGTTAATCCTTTTAGACACCTTGAACTCTAGACTGGGCCAAATCCATGAATTGAGTTTGACCCACCTTGTATTTGATTTGGACTTATCTCATTAATTGGGTCTGACACAATTAAATCTGGGCGCGTTAGTGATGACTCCCCTTTCCGTTTTAATTATTGACAGGTATGGAATGAAAGGGGTGTCCTTGTAATGAGTTTCAAATATTAATGGGTCTCACCATAATTAATACAATATGAGGAATGTCCGTGTCATTAAGACAAAACTCAGGCTCCGAATGATTTTTACTCAATGGAAAAAGTAAACTAAACATTTAAATCTTCAAGTCGCAAACTAACAAATGACTATAAAAAACTGACGAACACTGATGTACAGAGGGGAAAGAGAGAAGAGACATCATTGACTAATCAACGGTGGTAGTGAACCCCCACTCCCATAGTACCATGGCTTACCCTAAAAAAAAAATCCCACCACAACCATTGGCGGGAATAACGCAATCTTCGTTCGAAAAAACAAAAGACACTGGAGAGAGAGAGAGAGAGTCATTGTCACTCCACATTCAACACGCTCCCACCTCCATCCAATCTTGTTGAATACAAAAAGGTAAAATATCCAAATCAGCTTCACATCGGGGCTGACATTCCATCAATGTCTGCAAATCCTTCTGGCTCAAGTATTGATCTTGTTTACAGCCAGGTATCTGTATCCTACTATCCTTTGTTTCTCTCTCTCTCTCTCTCTAAATATATATATATATATATATATATATATATATATATATATAGGTGTGTGTGCGCGCGCGCGTATGTATTACAAACTATGATTATATATATATATTTTTTCGCTTTTTGGAAATTTTTTTGTTTTTTGTTTTGCTTTTAAGGGTTTCCATTTTCTGAGATATTTTTGCAGTGGGTCTTGCTTACTTTTTAGTATTACGAGATATTTTGTGGTGGGCATGGAAAACTTTTAGTTTTATGGTGGACTCTCTCTCTCTCTCTGGATAGTTATGGGGAATTAAGAGGCATCCATCAGACGAGTTGTTAAAATTTTGTGTTTAAAGTAACTACCTAAGATTTAGTGTTCAAAAAGGCAATTTCTTATCATTACTTATTTGGGGTCTGGAAAAGTTGAACTTTTTGTTGGGGAGTAACTTCTAAGCAAAGCTTGAGCATCAACAGAAATGCTACCGCTCATTCTGTTTACTCTTAGCAGTTGAGGCTCTTGAGCACCCTTTTTGGTTACTTTCTTTGTTCTGAATTGAAATGGGGTTTTTGGATTATGGCTTTTATGCCCTTTTCCGGATGTGAGTTATATGATTATTATGTGTTTGCGTCTGGTGTTTGACAGTGATCAATTGAGGATGGTTTAGTGATACTGTAAATGAAGGGTCTGTGAGGGGCTATTGGGTGCCTTATCACCGGAATTTGAGATGGACCGGCGGAGTTGGCTGTGGCGAAGGAAGTCCGCCGAGAAGAGTCCCGGTGAAACAGAGAGCTCGGGATCGATATCGTCCCACTCGGAAAGATTCTCTGATGATCAGGTCAGTTCATTTTACCTTGTCTTCCCAATGATTCCTTTCTTTTCCCTTTAATTGAATGTATTGACTTTTGTGAACCCATAATATAGTAGTATCACCTAATTGTTTATTAAAATCAGTATATATATACACGTTGGTTATCCCTTCCTGTCTGGGTAATATGTCAGTGACCAGGTTCAGATTTTAATGTTTTATAAAGATATTTCTTCCATTCTTAAATATCTATTATTTTAAATAATTTTTTTTGTTCCATAATATATATCGTTTTATGAAACCAAAACACAATAAATATATTTTTTTCAAATTCACCCTTATCTTTATTTTCCAATAAGTGCTTAATAGATTAAGTGTAGGTTAAGTGCCTTTCATATTCATTTCCTTCCCAATACGTATTGAATAAGTGTATTTTATTCTTGTGTAATTATTTTTTACTCATATTAGAGCTATTTAATAACTTCCTTAATCTGTGTGCAAAAACCTTAAACGACAGATGCTATACAACATTCTGTATGTGATGTATAGGAAATTAACTATTTTGAATGTCCTCCTGTTCCTATATTCAAGTCCCGTGATTTAAGAAAATTATTTTTGTCCTTTTGTTTACAGTTCTTAATCAAGAAGAAAAAGAAATCAACAATAGAAATGTAAAAAATAAACAAAAAAAATAAAAGACAGGTCATTGAGCTTGAGCTGAGAAGACTTTTCACACTCAAAATCTGTGCGTGAAAGTAAATTGTTTCGTGGCATTGTTTTTCATGGTAATGATGTCATCGGCACTTGATCTCCTCTGTCTTTGAATTTAATTTCTGTAGCCTGGCAGTTTACATGATTAATGTTTTCTATTGGTGAAATTCTTTTCGAAAATATGTGCCTGTTCCCCTAATCTCTGAGAATACAGAGCCTTATATGTCATATTGCGCAATTTTTGTTTTTGATGTTCAAAAAAGGATGTATGAAAGCAAGGAATGGCTTTGTAACAATGGTGTAGAAGAGGAATGTAATTAAGATGCCTATATGCTTCTCTCTTTCCAAACACCGGGCCATATTTGCTCCGGAAAGAGGTGCAAAGTTTGAGATTGATCCAGTCTGGAAAACTTGAAAAATTTTCAAAGCTTTATGAGCGTCGAAGTCCCACAATCCTTTAGTCCAATGAGTTATACAACTTCAAGAATTCTAAATTGCTACAACTTCGAGTCTTATATTTATATTATCTAGTAGGAATGACAGGTTTTTTGTTCAGAGACTTGGTTGTTTATCACTGCACCACCATGGACCACCTTTGTGTGGATATCCATTGCAGTTGGACCACAATTGACAGACACTTTTCCTTTCTGACAAGCTTTGTGTCCAACAATCATTGTTGATATTGATTCTCAATCATTCAATAGTAATTATTTTTATTCTACGAATAACCTTGTCTAGGAAGTTAATTTTCCCCTCCATTCAATTGGAAATAACTTGTTATCTGCCCTTGACTGGAGAAGAGTTTCTTCCACCTTGTGGTTTTCTTGTGTAATTAATAAAACGTAGATTGAAAAAGTAATTAGTGATCCACTGTTATTGCACCTAATAAAAAAAATCAGAGCATCCAGATGAAAGAAAGGTTTCGCTTTTACTTTTGTGAAATTCCTTCCTCGTGTCTTCAATCTCACATTGTTCACTGTCTGAATTATTTTCGGGTGTCAATTCCTCCCCATGCAGCCGAATAACAAAAAAGGAACTATTTTTTGTTGCTATTTTCTTAAATTTCACTTCTATATTGAACATTTTTTGCATCGAAACTAGTAGTTTGGGTAGGAAGTGCGAAGTGTTCTAGGGTAAGCAAAAGTGGAACCCTCAGTGGCTTAAAGCATGTGTCCTAAATTTCCGGCTCATAATCAGCATAGGTAAACATAGTGGCACATGGCAGCATCAAATAATTATGAAGCACTGATATTATCTCTTACCTTGGCTTCTGTTAGATTCAACTCAGTTTATTCAACGATAAAAACTATTGGGGAACCTGTAGTGGGTTTCTTTTTTCCCCTTTGTTTGGAAATAGCTGCTGAGACCAAGTCTACATCAATGAATCTGTATATAACTCTCATGTACCTTTATTTTTAAGTTGCCTAAGGTCTTGAAATTGAATCGATGACGTGCTTTGTGCAGTCTGTAGGGCTACTCTCTGCATCTTTCTTTGGTCAGTTCACTGATGGATGTAGCTTTCGAATTTCTAGATTTGTTCGTTTACCATTTCATAAGTTTTTCAACATTGCCCTATGTTCTCCTTTGGTTATACACTCTGATTCATCATTGTCTGTAAGTTCAGACACTACCAAATCATAATATTCAATCACCAGAAATCTCATCTAAAGCTGCACCCACTGGTGAAGAGCTTAATGACAATGTGAAGATTTTGACGGAAAAACTATCCGAAGCTCTTCTGAACATTAGTGCCAAGGAAGACTTGGTACAGCAGCATGCCAAGGTTGCAGAGGAAGCTGTTTCAGGTACAATTCTGTGTGTGTGTGGATGGGTGTGCGTGTATGGGTGTGAACTTAAGTTGGAAATTGACTTGCAGCTGGTTTGGTACGTGTTAATACTACGAATGACTTCAAAAGGAAATTTGGTAATGCCAAAAAATTTGAAAAGAGGAAGGGGGAAAGATCCTGGGTAGGAAGATCATAACTTGTGTTAACACTGAATTTATGGTGTGATATGTGTTAACAATCATCACATCCTGTGGAGTGAAATAGAAAGAAAAAGGGCTAGCGGAAGATTTTAATGCCAAAAATTAGGAAAGAGGAAGGAATTTCCCCTTTTGCTCAAGTAATACTGAAATATGTTCGTTACTGCATTGATGATTGTATACTAAGTTTGTTACTCTGGCTGTCTTGTCTTGTCTGTTGCATTTCATGGGTTTTCTCATGATGTAGTAGGTGGAAATGGTCATCATTCTTTAAGACAAACAAGTTTTTAAAGCTAGAAAAGATGAAAACTCATAGGATCTTTTTTAACTTTGTACATTCATCAATACTCTGATTCTATGCTAATATGGAAATGTACAAATTCTTCTGGTGTTTCTGATGTCTCTATTTCTTTCTGAAATTTAATTATCTGAATTTTACCTTTTTATTTCCATTATTTGCTGCTGTATTTCTGCCAAACTTCTACACTATACCTTGTTCATTTCGTATGCCTAATTAGAATATTTGATGCCTTCTTGAATAAATATGATAGAACTGTTCATACATTTCATTGAGCCTGTCTTACATCCCTTGCTCATATTTATTTCCTTCTACTGCAACATGTCCTCAACTTGAAGCTTTGCATGCCTTAGCGGTGACCGAGGGCTAAGTCATCCATTTTTTGATTTGAAATAATAGGATGGGAGAAAGCTGAAACTGAAGTGTTGGCTTTAAAACGACAACTTGAGGCTGTAACTCGAAAGACCTTAGCCCTTGAGGATCGAGTTGGCCATCTTGATGGAGCACTGAAAGAGTGTTTGAGACAGCTTCGACAAGCGAGAGAAGAGCAAGAGCAGAAGATCCATGAAATTGTTGCCAATAGATCTTATGAATGGGAATCTACAAAGTCTGAACTTGAGAATCAGGTCGTTGAGCTCCAGTCCCAACTTCAAGCTGCTAAAGCTGAAGCTGTTACCTCTATGAATTCTGATCTTTGCCTTAAACTTGAAGCTGCAGAGAAAGAGAACTCTGGCCTGAAGCTGGAGCTTCTTTCCAAAGCTGAGGAACTGGAACTTAGGATAATTGAGATGGACTTGAGCACCCAAGCTGCTGAAACAGCTAGTAAGCAAAATTTGGACAGCATTAAGAAGGTGGCTAAGCTTGAAGCTGAGTGCCGCAGGCTAAAAGCAATGGCCCGCAAAATGTCACCTTCTAATGATCACAGATCTATGGCTGCATCCTCGGTTTATGTTGATTCTTTTACAGATAGCCAGTCAGATAGTGGGGAGAGGCTTTTGATGGTTGACACTGACGCATCCAAGATGAGTGGCTTGGAGCTGAATCACTGTGAACCAAGTCATTCCGATTCTTGGGCATCTGCTTTAATAGTTGAGCTAGATCAATTTAAGAATGAGAAAGCTCTTGAAACTAACTTCATGGTCACTTCCTCTGATATTAATCTCATGGATGACTTCCTTGAGATGGAAAGGCTTGCGGCATTGCCGGAGACAGAAAGTGGAAGCTGCCCTGACTCGAGAGCTTTATTAGATCATGCCCATGTTGGGGAAAACCCTCTAAAAGCTGAACTTGAAGCCATGATTAATCGGACAGCTGAACTAGAAGAGAAGTTAGAGAAGATGGAAACTGAGAAAGTGGAGTTGGAGATGGCCTTAGCTGAGTGCCAAGATCAACTTAAAACTTCTAGAGATCAGTTAGATGAAGCAGAGGTGAATTTGGTGGAGCTGAAAGCTTACTTAGCTAAAGCAAGTGAAGCACAGAGTGCGACTGAGATTGAATTAAACAATACCAATCTAAAGTTAGAAAAATCAAGAGCCCGGTTGGAGGAAGCTATGGTAAATGTGGTGGAGTTACAAACTCAGTTTTCTATGGTAAATGAAGCAAAGAGCATGGTCGAGGCAGAACTTGAGGCGACTAACATAAAGAAAGCAGTGGCAGAGTCACGACTTGTAGTTTTAGAAGCTGACTTACACACCTTGCTTTCAAGAGTTAGTTTTTTGGAAAAAGAGATTGAAAAAGAGTGCGCTTTTTCAGCAGAAACTGTTTCTAAGTACCGGAAATTGGAAGCTGAAATTTCAAGAATGAAATATGAAACTGAGCTCCAAAATGCAGCAATCTTGAACGGACAGTTGAAAATGAAGCAGGTCAGTTTGCCAAATACATTTAGTTCATTTTTCCTACCCTTGCAATGCACTAAAAGGGTCAAACTAATGTGCGCATATTTCTGCATGTCAAAATTTCTTATTTCATGTTGCTGCAATTGAATCCAGTTATTCTTCGATCGAACAGAATGCATTATTCTTGACAGATATTCGAAAAACGGGGAGAATCTGGGTATAACTTGTTGTGGGTAACCCCAAAGACAAGTAGTTTGCTGTGTTGAACGTACCTTTAGGTTCTCCACCTTGAACTGAATGTCCAATCCCTCCGTCTCAGTTCCCTTCCCCCTCCCTAAACCTCTTCCTTTCCTCTTGCGGTTAGAAACCGGGGAAAAAGAACAGTTGGTAAGCGGTTCGGCTTCTAGCTCAAGTTCAGACGCAAGTTCAGTCTCAAAAACAGGTTGAGTGTATCGACCAAAAAAGGTTCAGTATAATAGTAAGCTTTGCGTGCAGAGACATAATCACGAGCCTAGCTAACACAGTAGTTAGGTTACATGGACTTGGGAATGTGGTGGGAGCAGGCTTTCTAGACATTAACTTATCTAAGATTATCTCAGGACATGAAGAATTTGCTGGATTGCCGAAGCTTTAAATTCTCTTCTTCCCTAATATAGGATGAAACAACATGGCTTATATAATATAACATCTTTACGTGAGTACTTCAAGCTTGTAGAAATCTGTGTAATGAGATGCATATTTGAAGAAATCCGCACATGAAACTTGTCACTTCTTTGTTAGATACTTCTATTAGCTTTGTTTAAGATGGGTACTTTCCACGTTTTGAAGCGTGTATATAACATTGCAAATGTTCCTAATGCGCGCCTTATTGGCATGCCACATTTTGACTTGGTTTCAGATGACTACACTTGCAGAACCCTACTTCATGTTTAATTCAATCATTCAATCCTCATTCTGATCCTTAACTACCCCAGAATGTGTTTGTAATCTGCCCACTGGTTAATTATTCTTGGAAGTTTATGAGACTACTTGGTATGAACTTTATGGGAAGCTTTAGGTGTTCACCAGCTTGTATTTTGGTTGTGACTTATGCAAACAAAATTCAAAAGAGCATTTTCTCTATCACAACTACAAAAGGGATTAATAGTTGATAAACCATGCTTCACATGAAGCGATGATTGTATTTGTTTTGTTTCTGTTTCATTTTTGCATATACAAATACAGTTCATATCTCAATGGTTGCTAATTGTTTCTTATACATTGTGGTCTCTGTGTCTTGTTGTCTGTGGCAGGATATGGAATTAGCAGCAGCTTCTACTAAATTTGCAGAGTGCCAGAAAACAATTGCTTCTCTTGGCCGACAGTTGAAATCTCTTGCAACCCTGGAAGACTTTCTTATGGACTCAGAGAAATTGTCAGAGATCTCTGAAGATGAACTACAATGTTCCAACAATGGTTTTGAATCATGGAAATTGCAATCTAGTAAATTCTCTTTGCCAAAAAGAGATTCTGAAGCTTCAAAAACGGTTGATACCTATTCAGGGCCTCTTAACAAATGGTAGCAATGGGGGCTTGATACTATCTGTGGGGGAGGTTATCTATTCCGAAAAGAGTCGAAATGGGCTTCGAAAGTTGCTTCATCAGAGTAAGATCAGGAGTTGAAGCGAAAATCAGTGATAGTGAGGAACAACAAAAACCAAAACGCAATAAAGGAAACTGATTTTGAGTCTATATGATTGTATAGCAGGGGCTTAGTCATTATTGTTAGAAACTAAGCATTGAAAGTGTATCAGCTTTGTATTAGACACTTGTTCCCTTTCAGGGTGCACATAAAAAACTGATAAAATAGCATACATACTTCGCCTCACAATCCCGTTTTTCTGTTTTTTTTTTTTTTTTGGTTGCATAAGTAGCATTTCAAAATTTCTCATATCTTGATTTGGGCAATGACCTTTGATTTCTTAGTTCTGTGACTGCGAATTTTGTATTACACAACTTCATATTATAAAATCATTACCAAGTTTTTGTCCCTGGTATTGATCCAAAAGGGATGGGTAGGATGCAAACTTGGAATTAAATTACAGAAAATAATTTTAATAAAGAAAAGAAAATTATAGCACCAAAAAGCAAACCTAAATTGGAATTAAAGACCATAATAGTCCAAATTCTAAATTAAGTTTTCCACTAATTTAATTTTTGCTTGGCATATTTTCGGATTCCAGGCATGCCAAAGTTCGAATGGACTTAAAATCCAAACACGTACGACCTTATTTACTCGAATTGTACGTGGGGTTCTAAAATAGTGACTGTTCTGGCGATTAAAGTGAGACGTAAGGCTACCTCTGAGTTATTTTCTATGCTTTATGATTAAAGAACTTTAAATAATTTCTCAAACAAAAGCGTAATGGACTAGATCCTAGAGAAAACAACGAGAATGGAAAGTATCAAGTAGACTGAATTCGAAGACGAAACAAATACTAAACTTGACATTAAATGAAAGCAATAAAAAATCAATGGAATAATGATTATAGGGAAAATAAAATTGCTCGGAAGTAAGAGATAAATATGACGTAGGCTGACTCTATGAAGAGTTTGTGGGATCAATCACGAATCTCTTTTTAGTGGCCTAAACTCAGCTATATATAGAGATGACCTTCAACTATTGATCCACCTCTTCCTGGCCATTATTGTGATCATGGCTTTGTCCCTCAAGATACATGAATGTGCGTTGAATTGTCTCCAACTGGCGGCTCATGATATTACATTTTCTTGTTTCTTGGGATTCTAAGAGTCCTACTCTTCTAACTGTTTTGTCAATCGTGGACTCTCATAGACTCCTTTGTTACTATCAGATCCCTTTCACGTGTCACTCTCTAATCTTGATATTTTTTGGTATAAACGTTGTCGTCCCCCCCCCCCCAAAAAAAAATGATGCGATTAAATACTCCATATTCGAGGCGTCGTTTTGGTTCTTTAAATTTAAACTTTTATCGCTACACTTTCCCTGCTTAGCTATCATACTACCGTTGATTGTGAAGCTCGGGGATTGAGGCTAAAGTTCAACGTATAGTTTTTCGGTCTATCCTTAGTCTTTTCAGATTGCAAGAAATGGCTGACATGCGATCCGTCCATATATTTTAATAATCATTTTGGAACGTTCGTTACGCCTATATAATCCATCTCTAGACCTATTGCTTTGTCATTATTCTAACTTTTTCTTCTTCTTCTTCAACGATGGAGGCTTCTCCTATTACGACTATTTCATGAGTGCAAGCTAATCAATACATTCTTCATACCTTCAACCCGCTCTTTGATTTTTCTTTATCACCAAAGACGGCCCTTGGGCCAGCCTCCAAAGAGATGCCTCTAGACAAGGTTTGACGCATTTACCCATAAGCCTCTCGAATGGACAAACTAGCTCAGTAGTAACCCTGTTCGTGCATGGAAGACCCCCAGCCCTGATTGGATATCTTGGGTTGCTTGCATTGAGGCAACCAAGGTACTCTATGGCGTCGCCTTGGTATTTATGATGCCATAGAGCTAAGCATTATTACGATGCCCATCAACAAGCCGTTGTTCAGTGTCGTTCTTTTGTTTTGGTCTGTGGTGAATAATGCCTTTAAGTTCCGTTTTGGCATGATGATCCTCATTGTAACATTCTGTTCCAACTTCTGCGTTGAAAATATAATTTAGGCATAACACACTTAAACATTCAATCCTACTGTTAATATATATATTTTTAAAGACATACCTAAACTGGCAATATATATCATAATACACTCGCCACCATACATTATATACATAACCCAAAAATATTTTTAAATTGTCGCTTACACGTTAGAGAAGAGAAAAAAACATTTACATTATATACGAACCAAAAGGTAAAAGAACAAAAAGAAAAATTGAGAAGAGCCCTCCCCTGACAACTTTTGACTGGACTTCTAGTTTTGGCAGTGGACTTTAGGCTTGTTTACATATTACCTGAAAAAGATTTGAAGAACTTTTTTCAGTGAGTACTCATTAAAAATTTCATAAATAGAGTAAAGAAAATGACAAGACACACTTATTCATCAGTAGAAATCTATTATTCGTGATTCCGTAATTTTATCCCGATATCCTTTGCTATTGCTCTACGGCCTCAAACAAAAGTTAACTATCTTGCTACCTAGGCAACAAAATATAGAAAAATATATCATCATATCGGTATAAATTTGTCACTCAGACAACTCAAACCATTATTTATTTTATGTTCGTCTTCCTGACGACTCATATCATAACAATAATTTTAGTTCTCGTAATTTAGACAAAATTTACCATAACTTATCTAAATCACAAAGACAACTTGAAATAGTTGATTTATTTTTAGTCACGTAGACAATCCATTCAAATGGTTAACTTTCGTCTCTTAGACGTCTTAATTGTGCAGACAATTTACATCACGTAGACATCTGCCATTTAGACGCCTCAAACTATTTAGCTTTTCTTTCTACACGTTACACAGACAACTCAAACCATAATATTGGATTCTGTCATGAAGACATCTCGTTTCCATCGTTGTAGTATGACACTCAATTCGTTGAATCGCAACAAAACTCATAAGATAAGCAGTCAACTATATAATTAATTATTTATGCATAAATAAACGAAGGTTAGCATACCTACATTGCACAAAATTCTCTCTCGTAGAAGACTCATCCGCTGGAGCTTATTGGGTAGTGTTCTTTGCATTGATCGTCCTTGAACTTGGCACCTAATATTCACAATCCCATTCGAATATTAAAAGATAATACCGCTTCCACTCGAATTGGTTTATTCAAACCAAATTTAGTAATTTAATCACGCCACATTCAATAATTCATCTAAATGTAATAATTTAACTTTACTCAAGTCGATTTAACTAGTAGTTCAATAATCAATTCGAGTCACATGAAATAATTTATTTGCAGCGAGTAAAATTACCCACTCGAATTGATTTGAGTTAGTTTTCTCGAGTCCGTTAAAACAATATTTACTCAAACTAGTTACACCCAAATTAAACTTTCCTTATAAAATTATAGTATAAGAAAAGTATACTTGAATTTGCATAGTTTCCTATAAAATCATAATATTGCATATTTTCTTGTATTATTCATACCCCTAGATTTCATGAGAATTCAAGAACAATCCATAAAATTTCTAACCAACCACCAAATACAATCTCTCTTGACCAAACTTCAACCTACATACCACAATTTCACTATTTATTTTTCATCAACAAAGCTAATTTTACTTACACACCCACACAAGTATTATACTGAACATTACACTTTAATACATGCAACACCCAAAACACATACAAAATACCATACTTTAACTACATGCAACACAAAAAATGCATATAATAGAGTTGAATCTATACATCTTAGAAGGAGAGTAGGTTACATGCTTACCTTTGAACCCACTTTCTACACCACCAAACACCACCCTTGCCGTGTTCCCTCCCTTAGCCAAAAGTTCAAAGTCTTGGAAAATCCTATCTTTGTTTTCCCTTTTTTTTCCCTTCTTCTTTCCTTTGTTTCTTCTTCTTTCCTTTGGTTCTTGTCCTTGGCCGAGACATGCAAAGAGAAAAAGCCTTCCCTTGTTTCTTTTGGTTTGTTTTTTATTCCCCCTTTTCTATCTCTCCCTACATGCATTGCATGTCCTCCACCCCTTTAGCCGCCAACCTTCCTCCCTCTAAATCCTAACCATTCATTCCCCTTAGTGGAGTCGTGATCATGTTGCATGTAGTAATATATATAAATACATACATACATATATATATATATATATATATATATATATATATATATATATATATATTAAATTTATAGTACTAATCTATAATCCACTTCTTGTATACACAAACACTTTTTTTGATAACAATAAGTTGATGTCAGATGCTGGCCACCTATTTTATTTCACATGTACTAACATACATAAAATAGTAAAATCATATCACATGTAAACAGACTTATTTAATTTTCCACAATTTCCCCATATGGTCATTTAATCTCACTAATTCCCATATATTATTCATAAGCACTCTCTAAATATTAAAAATCCATCGTACGGCTTCAGGTCTCATCTCACTATTCTTAATTAAATACTGGTTACCAACCCTGCGCATGCATATCACATGTGAATATGCTTATAATAAATATTTATATATTTGTCATGCGTGTTTGGGTCTTAAACCCACGATCTATGATATGTCTACTCTTCTCAGCCTTCCTCCATTTGGGGTTGAGGCTAACGCTCTGCTTACGCATACTGAAGCAAGCTATACATTTTCACTTGATGTGTATAACAAGCCAATCATTGGCTCTTCTATGTCAGATCAAGAACATATTTCATTCTTGTTTTACTGGCTTAACCAGTTCTTTTTATGTACTCCGTCTTACAAGGTGACCAAGGAATATATTCTGCTGGCCGTCTACCTGGCCGCAGGAGCTTTCTATGCTCTTGCCCTTGTCATTCTTATCCACCTCTATCGCGAGATGTGGGATATGATGGCGTCAAAGATGTAGAAATGTTTAGGTCCCATCTAGATGCTTCAACTATGACTTCATCCTTATTTCTTAGAGCTCTCTATTCTGCCTGCTCATTACGCCTCTTTTTCTTAAGACCATTTATTTTCCACGGCCTTTTCTAGAGAACAGGCATTCGCTGACTATTTGTCTTATTTGTATAACTTGAATGGCTCATGGCCCAT